TTTTCCATTTGCAACTTTATTTCTAGCCCACTATCACCATCCATCTCCACCTGCCACTGCTCTAGGTCAGGGCATTATGATCAGACCTGGTTTATTACAGTAAATCCTTCGCTGTTCTCTAGGCAGCAAACATCACCTGTGTGGTTTCATCTCAATTTGGAAAACCTCCCTGCAATTCTAGAAACATGCAGTCAGCACTCTAAAAGAACTCAGGACAAGAATGTGCTAGTAGATTGTGGTTTTCTTTTCTTGCTTTTTAAATATTTCTATCTTTATAGTCACAGGACAGTATCTCAGGACTGTCTATTGTGGGAAAGAGAGACTTCGACTCCCTGAGCAGCCCCTCCTCCCAGTCCTTTGAAACACATTTGCTCTCGGGACAAGGGACACTCTTGCAAAAGAAGAAAGGGCAAACATGTCAACTGCATGGGTGTTCAGATATAAACATAAAGGCTTTCCAATTTTTAAAAATGTCTTTGCCTTGTTAACAATGTACGTGATGACTTGATGAGTGGTTCTGTGAACGCCGCTGCTAAAGAAGTATTAAGAGAGGGAGCAAGCACCTGCCTCCTCCATAGTGAGATGGAGAAAGAAGTTGGGGCCCAAGATCTCCCAGAGTCAAGCATCTGATCACATGATTGGAGGGGTATCAAAGACGAATGTGAGTTTTATAGGGCTGGCAGGAAAATCACAGACAAAGCATGATTGCTGAGATTTCTAGTGTGAAGAGATCACATCCTGGTCGAAGCTGTGAGAAGGCAACATTATGAAGAAAAATCCAGGAACAAACAAACGAAAAAGATAAGTAGGCCAGTCTTCACAGGTTCAGATAGAGAGAAAGAGAGGAAAACATAGGTATGTCCATCAAAGGCTGGTAGGCCATTGCTTTACCTCTTTAGATAGAACTGGGTGGAATAAGCTCTCTGTATTTGCTGCTCCTGATACGAAAGTCCTAGAGAAAGCCGTTCACTCATTCATTTATAAAATGATTTTTGACTGTCTTATATGTGCCAGGCACTGTTCCAAACACCATATATAGAATAGTGAACTTACACAAATAAAAGCACAAATATAAATTTGCTCTTGTAGGTTCAAAGTGATAATGATGACCATAGCAGCCAACAATACTGAGCACTCAAGTGCTTTTATGGGTTATCTCGAGAAGCATCCAGCTAGGCTGGAGAGGACAGCCCCGCTTTGCTTCATTCTCATCTGAGACCTGGTGGTCACACGGCTCTCTTCCCGGAAGAGCTCTTTAGGGAGCCAGAACAACACCAGGGTGAGTGTGAGGGTGAAGGGGGCTCCCGAACATCAAGTTCAGGTTCACATCTTGTTTGCACATCTTCCTCTAGCCATCTGCTAAAGCGACCGCTGGACTGATACTGTGGCAACACTCTGATATAAGCCTTTCAGACATTGTCGTGTTGGCACGAGCCAGTAACTTGGATACAGCGCATGAAGGACAGACACCCTCTTGAGAGGACCATCATGTAGCTGATCAGGAAAACCAGGCTCGAGTCCTGCTCTGTTTTGGTGGGTTGTATGACCCTAGGTGAGTCATTCGATCTCACCATCTGTGTATTTCTTCAGTGAGCAAATGGGAAGGATAAATAGTCCTATGTCCTCAAACAGGTCGAACCAGAGGGGTTCTTTACTCTTGGGGAACATTCTCTGTGACACCAGTGCCCCTTGCCCTTCTCACATCTTTACCTTCTTTTCAACCTCAGAGCTGATTGCCATATGTTCCCATTGCTTCTCACCACCCACTTTATGTAGGGCCTTTTACTCTAGAACCAAAGAAAGACCTGCTTCCCTCTCGAGACCCTCGCTGTCCCCTCCTTCTTCCACTGCATTGACTCCCAATTGTCCAGCTCCATCTCCCACCTGAACGGCTGAAATCAATAGTTTCTGGACTTTATGACCCTCTTGTAAACACTGGCAAAATCAACGAGATTTCCACACCGGAGGGTGGGGAACATTGATGTGGATGCTACTGATAATGAGTTCCTTTTCGGAAACAAGAAGTAAACACAGGGTGTTCCTGCTGCATTTATGCATAATGAGGCATTTATGCGAACACCCTCCACTCAGCTAGTTGAACTGCCTGGGGCAAAATAATATTCAACCTTCAAGTTTAATAACTGCATAAACCTAGAACAGATGGGAAGCGTTCTGCTCTGGCTTTGAAGAGCCTAATTAAGTGTATTCAAGGAGATTTTTCGAGCCCCCTCCCTTTGAAGCACTTTGTGGTCTGTGTCAGAGAATGACGGCTGTCTTTATGTTTCGTTGTTACGGAACATCCCGTGACTTCTGTATTCTGTAACGCAATACCTTTGTTTCTTTGAAATAACCTGTGGGACTTTATGCCAAGCCTTGCTCTTGTTCCTTCCTATTTTTATCCTAAGTGTATTAACCAACACTCTTTGGAGAATGTGCTTGCGAGCTTAGGTGTATCTCACTTTATCCAATAAACATGTTCCTGGCATGTAGTATGTAAATCGAATTTTAACAAATTGAATCATACACCTAAATGCCTGAGGGGCACCCATTTTAGGAAATAAATCATATTCTGAATTTTAAGTGAATTTTTACACCCTAATTTTTCCAGCCAAGGTTTTCAAGCAACTTCATCACAGACCTATTAAAAGAAACGTCCTTAAAAAATAGTTGGTGACATCCCAGTGACATGGACAGCTTAGAATTGTAATCAGCCATTGAAATAACTAATAAGTCAACCAAATCCCCTGTGTAGAAACAGAAACCTTAGATCTAATCAAACTGATATTTACTGCATGCCTACTGTGTGCTGGGCTCCAGAGCTACATGGGAAAAGAAAACACAGGCCTCAGGGTACTGGGGTAGATTCCATGATGGAGTTTGGTTGTGGACTGAGTGGAGGAGATGAAACACTTTATCTTCCAAGGGACTGGCCTGGACCTTGGAAAGACCAGAGGGATGCTTTATATTTTAATTGATATTAAAATCAACCAGAAGTGAAGTTTTATATGCTCTGTAGATGGCAAATGTTTCTTAGAAAAGCATCCTAAGGGCGATGGATTCTGAATTGGTTTTTATTGCAGTGAAGGCATATAGTCTCTCTGTGTCTATAACTCCTCTTATGCCCCCTAACCTGAGGGATAGTATGAATCAAAGATTATAGGTAGTGGAGCAAATCACAAGGGTCAGGTTTGGAGAAAGCAAACCGACCGATGAGTTGAAAATAAAAATAAGCAGAATGAGGGCACAATTTCATAGCAAAGTCACCATGTTGTCTACATGTAACTTGCTCAAATACAACCAAGTCCAGAACAGGCCAGGTCCTCTCCATCCATTCCACGTACCATTCTACTCTTGAGCCCATACTCTAGAGAGATCATGAGATTGGAAATCAAACTCTGATGCCCCTCCCTTAGTTTCAGCTGTCTCTGGTGCCTAATAATTTGCATCATGGCCTCTCAGTGTATCCACATCCTAAGAGCAAGCCTCCTACCTCAGCTGCCATATAACCCAAGACTGTCTGTTCCTCTGGTGGAAGGAATGAGTCTGTGCCTGTGGACGTGGGAGCCTTCCCTGAGGGCTGACTGTGGGACCTAATCCCCACTTGCCCTCCCCCCGCCCCAGACACAGCACACTTCTGCAGGTCAGGGAAGCTTCCCCAGGTGGGGGCTATGTGTTTGAATGGAAGTTTGTCTCTTATAAATTTGGGACGATGAGCCATCAGAGTCAGAACCCCTCAGGGTGTGTCAAGCACCACTTCTGGGTATATTAAAGCGGAGATCGGGAACAGTGCCCAGGAATAATAGAAAACAGATAGTAGCTGTGACTTAGTGAAGGTTTTTGAAAGAAACAAGGGAAAGTAGATTTTTGCTCACAGCACAATGTCAGTGATTTAAGGCCGGGGTCCAGGGGCCTGAACTCGGGTCTGCACCGAGAGAATGGAGAGGAGGAAAAGCCAGAGAGATGGTGCTTGAAAAACCAACCCAACTAAACACGTGATGGATGTGGGGATGCAGACACGTACTGATTTGGAACCACTGTGAAAGCCTCCGGTGTTAAGATGCTGATGCCATTTCCCAAGGGAGAGAGCACAAGGAGAAGCGGGTGGGGGGCAGGCTGTCGTGGACGTGGTGAGTTGAGGAGACCCCGAGTGAACCTGCTCAGGAAGGAGCTGGAAGGGCAGACCCTCCCTGCCTGCCACCCTGCGGGCTTTGTCTCTTCACCCCCATCACCCACAGAAGAAACGGTTTAATCTGCGGGACAATGCCGAGGTAGAATGTGCAATGTGAACAACAGGCAAAATAAGAACTCGGATAAAAGCAGAATGAATCTAGGGGACACCCATCCAGAGCTTTCTAGAATCACCCTCTAGGGTCCCTGCAAGCCATCTAGGAATCCAGCATCACAATCTAACCTCGACTCACACTGAACACGGAGCTCCTCCTAAAGCTCCGTGGAATCCCTGAGTGGCCTCAGCTCCAGCCTGGGGAATAACCCAGAGGTGGCTGAGCGCTGAGGGCCCCCAAGAAATCAGCAAGGTAGTGAAAGGAGGAGAGATTTTGAGGTTTCAAAACAAAGTTTCTCGTGAAAAAGGGGAGACAAGGCCATTATTACAGGGAGCTGTAAATGACATCATCTGACTTTCAGATTGTTCAGCTGGGGAGAGGAAAACAAGATCACAGACAGGAAAATGCCTTGATCTTTACTTCTCTTAACCTACAGGCACAGAATCACCAGCATTTATGATCTTAAAATTAGAGTGAGGTGGAAGAGAACTCAGCTCGTAAGAGCGATGAAGGCTGATAATGTCCAGTCTTCAGGGGGACATTGAAGGCCTGAGGTCTGTTACTGACTCCGTCAGTAACTCATTATGCGGCATGAGATAGAGTTTCTGTTTGCGAGGGGAAATAGTGGTGAGAACATAATTATTTCCTGGGTGCACGCTGACGGCTGAGGTATTTATACATCAGGCAACAGAGAGAAAAATAATACTTGCCACCTACCTACCCATTAGAGGTGACGTCTGGAGAACGATCACGGGGTCTTGGATGAAAGGGTATATGAATAGCAGTGTATCGTCAGCTTCCGATGGGTCTGGTCTTTGCATGACTTCGCTTTCCAAAACGTCAGTGGTGCAGTTTGTCCTTTGAGTTTCTGATTTCGAGTTTCCCCATCCAGGCTCAGTGGCAGAGAAGCCTTTGAAGAAGTGAGCATCCATTCTTCATGGTTCAGTAAAGCATTGCTAATTTACATTAATGATGGATATTTAAGGACAGAAATTTTTCAAAACAAGGCTACTGCATGGCCAACTGTATTTTATTTATAGAACCTTATTTTTGAGTCCTCTGATATTATTATTTGATATTTCTTCATCTTAGGCTACTTCCACCGTGCTTATTTCATTGGCTAACTTAGTAAAGAAGAACTAGTTTTAAAAATTCAGAGGGTGTCATATTTATTTTCTATACATCTTGTCACTTGCTATGTATGTTTGTAAACAAATATGTTTCATTTTTTAGGAGACATATGGCTTCTAACTTGTTTGATTTAATAAGGTAACAGAAGTTCTGTGTGGAATCTGCCTCTAAGAGTTGTACTCTCTTAGTGATTTAATGCTCCAGAGGGTTTCAGCTCAAGGGCAGAGCCTGATCCTTTGTCCCCTCTTCTCCCCACCTCCTTTTTCCTTCCCAAACTTGTGAAAGGGTGATCTGTGCAAGGAGACTCAGAAAAGCTCTAAAAACAGAACAGATAAAGCCTTAGGCTGTTTTCAGTGACCCGCTCTGATATCCTTTCCTTTACTTGGAACTGTTCAAAATGTCCAGTGAATTCTCTAGGACACCCTCTGTGGCAGCTCGGCCTGACTTACGGAAACCTGCAAGGGGATAAGTGTAGGGAAGTGTCCTCTTCTTGTCACTGTGGGCCCAGCTTCCACCGAGCCCTCACGGGGGCAGTTTCAGGCAAGGGCAGGGGGACACACGTCCAATCCCACAACAATCCCACTGTTCGAGCAAGGCTCTCGGAGAATGCTCAGGATGGTCATGTAACTGGGAGGGCAAGAGGCAGAGGGTGACAACTGCAGACCCCAGGCCGGTAGCCAGATCGGGGTTCAAACACCAGCAGCACCACTTTGCAGTCATGAGATATGTGAGCACGCTGATTAACTGGTCTGTCCCCCATGTTCTCATCTGTGTGAGTCAGATATTAATAGTACTTACTTCATAAGTCTGTTTAAAGATCGAGGTTAGCATTAGAAAAACATTCAGAACATTGCCCGGCACCTGGTGAGTGCTACAGAAACGGGAAAGACATGGGCTCTTGCTGGCACTATGATCAAGCGTTGGTGTCCAGTAACTCCACTGGACGGGGGTTGAGTGTGTTGGGGAAAGAGAAGAAACCCCAGAGAGACTGTTCAGGACAACTCAACACCATTTAGAGGCCTGCTTAGCTCTACCTGTCTTGGAATAATGAAGACCTAATATGTTGTGTATCTTGTAAACTTTGCAAGGATGAACAAGTACGCAAAGGCGATTGCAATCTGTACTTTCCGTTCATGAATCCTGTGTAGAGACTGATCGTTGAGGATGGCTAGGACAACTCAAAGATGCATAAAAACCATGTCCGGGATAACCTCATAGTGACAGTAGAAAGTTAAAGGCAGGGAAATTGCTGAGGAAACAATTCCTCCCCCCAAAAGAAGTTTCTATTTTAATTGTAATCTCAATGTTTGCTTTGCACCTTTAAATGCTGGGATTATATTTGGGGGCTCATAGTCCACCTAAAGTGGCTGGCCGCATTCATTTTATGTTTCCATAATTGCAAGACCAAAGGTTCATCATTTCTGGTGTCAGTTCAGCCTCTGGCTTCCTTTCTAAGACACGTTTTGTAGAGTTTTCCCATTCATGGCAGGAGAAAACTAATACACTCATTTTTAAAAATAGTGATTTGAAATTGCTTCCAAAATAGCTAGAGTTTTAGGAGAAAAGACTGTGTTTCATATGGCCCTGGAATGTATAATGTGCTAAATAAGATAAGAGGGAACTCTTCTGTAGGAAACTCAGCTGTACCACACTATACATCTTAACAGATCTCCTTTCTTTCACCTGGGCACCTTCCTCTGTGAGTAAGGCATGGGCAGCATGGTCATTTCTTCTGTTCTCAGCTACTTCACCTTCAGTGTGTGAAGTGACAGCATGAGGCATTTCAGCTCCAGAAAATTCTATAAAGAGTGTGAGAGTTCTTAGACCAGACAGCTGCAGATCACAAGGATAGGTGCTGGGTTAATGGGACATGTGACAAGTTAATATAGTTGGCTGGGAGGATGGAGCAGAGATACAGACACTCAATATTTAAGCACCTACTGCGCGCAAGGCAGAACTCTGCATCTACTTTCTCCTCTTCTACAAACAAATAGTTCTGCTTTCTTGTTTTTTCACACATTGTGGACTTGTGAATAATACTAATTTTAGACAAAATTTTGCAGCTGAAGAGTTTGAAAGAGTTGATCTCAATGGCATTCCTGCATGAGTTCTGATAATGAACTCAAAGAAACCCCAGCCTATAAGGGAGCTAGACCCAAACCATTTCAAGCATGGCCTCATCACTTTGACATGGAAACCATGCCATATCTTGCCAGACCTTGGCCACATATTCCTTCTACCAAATGCCAAGAGGCATCTAACTGTTAGTCTTCAAGGACAAAGTGTTGCTACATGAATAAAATGGAAACTGTGCTAAATTCAAGAGCTGTTAGGTAGTCTTCCATTTTTCAAAGTCATAAAATAAAAATAGTGTCACTCCAAATTTAATGGCTGCAGTTACTCACACCTGACTCAGTAAATATTTGGTGGGGGGCGGGGGGGAGATAAGTGAATGCCTGAAATGTGTCTTCTCCAACCACATTTTTAACTTCATCAAGCCTCAGCTTAGTCATAAAAAAATAGAAATAATAATTACTTCATTGTGAAGATCACATCTGATAAAGCACTTGGTAAACTATAAAGCATGATACACTGTTAATTTTTTCTTTCTTTCCCATTCCTTGAGCGAGACTCTGTTGTGATGCTCTAGCCTATATCTTAACATCATTGAATACTCCTAGGTCTTTGCTAAATTCTGCAAATCGCTTTACTTACAACTTAGCATATATCTCATCTATTTGCTGAGTATCTGTTTCAGGGTTTCGATGAAGCAGAGTGATGGACCTCACTCTTGTTTCACTGCATGGGTTTGATGGTCACTCATAATTCTCACTTCCAGCTGACCCTGATTCAAGTAGCCCTTTTATGTTTGCTTCAGTGCACCTAATATGTGAATTTCACTTCAGTTCTCAGTTATAAGGAACTCATTTTGCTGAGTTTATTTTAACTTTAAATAACACCCATTTCATTCTTGGTCATTCTTGTTGCTGTTAATCTATAAAAGCAGAAGGGTATTGGGAGGAAGAAAGTGCTACATTAGTGGTCATTTCTACTGATGCTGCTTTTAATTCTTTCAAATACCTGAAAGCATTTAAATTGATCTCTATTTTGACTAGGAAGAAGAGAAAATTCTCCAGTGTAAATGCATTCAGAACATTTAGATAATATCCTAAACAAAAGGGAAAAAAACAAACTTACAAGTTTTCTTTGCCTTTAATGATATATTTGTGACTCCGACTTGTTTGTATTCTCCACCTTCATCCTACTTGAACTAATTTTTTTTAAAGAAAGAAAAAAATGAAGCTTTATAAATTTATCAAATGAAAATAAAGGAGAAAAGTAGGCCAACATTACGACAATTTAATTAAAATTTTGTGGGTTTTTTATTAGGAAAAAATATTTAGAATAAAATATGACTTTAGAAAATATTTTCCATCATCTAAGACTTTGTCTGTTGGTTCTTAAGTTGAAGTCCTGTATTCTAGAGCCAACAGTGTGGCAATGGGTGTGTGAACATAAGTTAAAATAATTTACATAATACAGGAAAAATCCTGATTTCTAGAAAAGATACAAAAATTGGGAAAATACATTTACTGAATTTTATTTTTCTCAAAAAAGTGATATTAACATAGAATAAAAGTTTTCTCATTGTAGAACCTGATGTCCAACTTTTTATGGATATGGCTCAAATACTATTTTTATTAAATCTTTGAATTGGTTGACTATTTAAACCTTAATTTAATAGATCATAGTGTGACCAAATATAAAATTATTTTCTTTTTCTTAAGAACTCTTTGGGAAAAAGGCTGAGGAATTTAGGAAGGAAGCTCTTACCCTATAATGAAATGTCCAGTTTCCTTGGGGATGGCATCTTGTACAACAGCACAACCAGGAACAGGGCAGAGAAGAGTGGAAAAAGGAACCAGGGGCCCAGAGCTAGTGAGGAAGACAAGTGCTTCTTACCTGCTGGAGCCTTCAAAAAGCAGTATGATCATAGGATGCCCTTTGCACTGCCTACTGTAGGCTCTGTAATTAATAATATGGTGGAAAATGTCCAATAACCCTTATTCTAAAACTCAAAAATAATCCCCTCATTAGGCATCTTGTAAATTTTTAAAATCTCTAAATTTCATAACTCTAAGATATTTATTCTTATGAATTATATTCTTATAAAAAATAACAAAGAAATATCTGGAAAACATAAAGAAGGAGGAGGAAGAGATGAAGGCGAGGAAAGTGTTTACCCTAGTCCAAATAAAATAGTGCAGGGACTGGGAGGTAAGTCAGTAGAAAACAGTGGAGAGTCCATAGACAAATCTTAAAGTATATGAGAATCTAAAATCCAGTAAGGATGACATTTCAAATCATTTGGGGAAGGCTGAAGTATTCAATAAGTAGAATTCAATTCATTAGTCTCCATTTAGGAAGAAAATAAAGTCAGGATGTGTACCTCCCAACACTCCTCAAACACTTTTCAAGTAGTTCAAAGATTTGAGTGTAAAATATTAAAACTATAAAAGCACTAGAAGAAAATATAAGATCATTTTATTAAATAATGTCAGAGGGAAGGCATTTCTAACCACAACACAAAATCTAAGAGACATTGAGGAAAAGATTGATGGATCTGATTATATAAAAGCTAAAAGCTTGTTTACAATGAGAAGCAACCCAATTTGTCTCAAACTGGGACAAAATAATTGCAATACATGAAATGGTGAAGGCTTAATGTTCCAAACATACAAAAATCTCCTAAATAGAGATTAGAAAAAGACAAGCAATGCAATAGGAAGAAACAAGTCAGAGAAGGAGCATAGTCAAAAAGAAGAAATGATCGTTTCCATTAATAATAAATTAAAATGATGAGATATAATCTCTAGTTTTTATGAAATTCTTCGACATTCTTGTATAGTTAATGAAAAGGCAAATAGTTTTGAAAGATAGTTTAACACTTCCTATTCATCTAAGTGAGTAGTCCATTCAACCCCTAAACCCTACTTCTGGGAAGCTATCCTACAGAAACCACAACACACAGATGTCATTGAAGTAGTAAAGGTTTGTGATGAGTCTAAGTGTCCATCAGTAAACGG